CCATCCAGCATGGCCATGGGGATTCTGGGAACAGTAGTCCAAAATAAATCTTTTGACAGCTTCACTTAGTGGGTGTCCATGTGTGCTTCACAACCTGCCCCTTCCTTCCAATCTCGACACGGGGTGCAACGTTAATGCCCCAAACAGTTTTTTCATCGCCCTGAAAAGAAACAAAAGCAGAATCTTTGACTTCTCCATCCCCCAGATCCGCTTTACTTACCTTTCTCCATCCACCGCCATTTGTCTTTCAGCCTGTCTTCCATCTTGGGCATCTGTCACCAGTGATTCCTGGGTCCTCACCATCATCGCTACAGATTACACCATATAATTCATTTTCCCAACTCCACCAAGGCTTGTTCTAACCCCACCGTCCGTTGCTCTCAAACAAGAAATTCAATATTTTCTCCTAAAGGACACCATATCACCTGTCAATCCTTCAGAAGACAATCTAGGGTTTTTCTCCTGTTATTTTACCATCCCAAAACGAGATGGCAGTCTGCAGCCTATTCTTGAACTTTGGGACCTCAACTATTATATCATTCAGAGATGTTTTCATATGGTTACGTTAGAATGAATCCTGCCCATTGTTCAGCAAAATGACTGGTTCACAATTATAGATTTAAGCGATGCATATTTCCACATTACCATTCACCAGGATCATTGCAAATTTCTCAGATTCGCTGTAGGACCCTATGCCTACGAATTCAAAGCCCTTCCTTTTGGCCTCTCTACAGTGCCAAGGATATTCACCAAATGTATGGCACCTATAGCAGCCCACCTGCGTACTCTGGGAATCTCCATCTTCCCCTACATAGACGACTGGCTGATAGTCTCCCCTTCATGTTCTCAGGCTTTAAAAGATATCCAGTTGACCCTTTCTCTCCTCGTGGATCTGGGCCTCAAGATAAACGAAGAAAAACCCATTCTTGCCCCTACACGATGGATCACCTACATAGGCGCGGTCCTCTACGAGGGCAAGAGTTTTTCTTCCTCCAGAGAGAGCAGCCAAACTTCACATGCTCATCGAAAGATTCCTTCCTCACTCATTCGTCACAGCACATTTGGCCCAACCTCTCCTAGGCCTTATGGCCTCCACCACATCGACCATTCAGCACTCCAGGCTATAGAGGCGCTCCCTGCAATCATGGTATCTGTCCCTCTTTGATCCTATGACAGACCCATCTTCCAAGTTCCTCCAAGTCACCCTCGAGCTCTCTTCTCAGCTCTTCTGGTGGGACACTCCATCCAACCTGTTCATCGGAAGGCCCTTTACTCCTCTCCAACTATTGGTTCAGATCACCACTAATGCAAGCCCTACTGGATGGGGGGCACATTACAACGGCCTGCATATTCATGCTACCTGGTCCTACACCGAGTGAGCTCTTCATATAAACAATATCGAGCTCTTAACCATTTTCAAGGCCTTCAAATCCTTCTTCTGATACAGGGCCATGACCAGGGAGCAGCTGCAGCTCAGTGGCAGAGCACATGCTTGAGATGCCGAAGGCTGCAGGCTCAATTTTGTGTGTCACTGGATTAAGGGATCTGAGGGTAAGCAAACTGGGGGGGGGGGAGACACCTCTCTTCACCCAGGCTTTTGGAGAGATGGGGCTGGCCAATGTCATGTTCTTTCAGAGGGAACAGGTTTTGGGGACTACAAACCTGATAATCCCCAGGCAGGCTGCTGCGCATTGTAGTCCAGCAAGGATCTTTCCAAGCCCCTTGTTGCGTGTGTGCTTGCCTGTGCCTGCATGTTTACATATAAATTCACATGCTGTTGATCCCATCACAGCCAGAGCGGTTCTGAATCATTTCCAGAGCGAAAGCCAAGCAGTTGCCATGACGCGCAAGGTCTGGGAACGATCAAACTGGGGGAAGGCTTTCCCCCACCCCCCCACCCCCAGTGGAGATCTGTATACCAAGGAGCCGGAGTGACATGTCGGAGCTCTGCTGTGAAGTCAGAGGCAGCTAAAGAAAGCTGAGAAGAATTACAGATCTTAAGAATCAGCTTGAAAGCCAGGAACGCCGAGAACCAGAAGCAGCACCTCAGGGGGCCTCCGAAACATTTAGTTTACAAAGCTTTGTGTCTGTGATGGCGGATATTACACTTGAAGAAGAATGAAAAGTAAAGGGGGGGAAATATCCCCCACCTT